TGGCAGAAAATCAGGACCATATATAAAAACTTGTACGCGTTTTCTGCATCACCAATTTAATACTTGTAGATTCCCATAGAAACTCAACTCATAAATCAGGCGATACTGTAAATGCACAGCTTTGTTTAGTGGTATTAGCAATGTACAGTTCAACAGGTTTGTAGATATAACATATTCCCTCGGCTAGGAATCTGTATCGCTCATAGAGAATCATCAGAAAATGAATGACAATTGAAAATCCAATCTGAACATAACCTCCTTAAGAGCAGCCTACTTCAAGCTGAATGGGTTATATTAATCTCACGTTGTTGTATAATCCTGCGAAAGCACAAGCCATAGTGTTTGTGACTTGAAGGGAAAAGTGGCAAGTTGTTACAGCCAGTATTTTCTGAAACTAACTGAACATATCTATCCATAATCTATACACCGCTTAATCCTTACTAGGGTCACCGGGGGGGCTGGAGCCTATCCCAACTGACTTAGGGTGAAGGCAGGGGACACCCTGGACAGGTCGCCAGTCTATCATAGGGCTACACTTAGAGATGGACAACCAAGAACACTACAGACAATTTAGAATCACCAATTAACCTCAACATGTTTTTGGACTGTATGGGAGGAAGCCGGAGGACCCGGAGAGAACCCACGCTGCACCAGGAGAACCTGAAAGCTCTACGCAGAAAGATCCCGGTGCCCCCACCGGGATGCGAACTGGCGACCTTCTTGCTGCGAGGCAACAGTGCTACCAACTGCGTCACTTTGCAGCCCTAACTAAACATGTTAAAAATAAATTTTAAAAAAGGAAAAAACTGCAAATATTTACTCTACAAACTGATGTTATGATTGTGAATTTAAAAAAAAGAATTTTCAAATTAGCCTAGTTCAACACTGTGTCTCACTACTGTTAATTTTTTAGACAACAATGCTGCTCTGTGGTACAGAGGAATAAACTGATTCAAGTTTGATACACTTACAGTACTTCTTAGGATAAGAACAATGCAACTATGTAAACAGATTTATGTCCACACAACATTAGTATTGAAATATGTACATATACAAATACAGATAACATCTTCATTTGTGCTTGTTTGCATCTGTGAAACATTGTTTGACACAAACATTGTGACTGCATATTTTGTTGGTTACAGGGTGGGGGTCATATTGGTTTATAGGAAACTTAGAGCATGTGATCAGGAGTATGTGGATAACCACTTATATATTATAGCAGAACATGACTACAGCACCAAAAGCATCTAACTCCTGCTGTAATAGGATTAGATTCAACACTTTTTCTTCTAGTTGCTGGCGTCCAAGCAGATTTAGGAAAGCCCTTTAATTTAAACAAATATTTTTTTCTGAATTTCTCAGGATGACATGACAAGTCACTGTTTAAAAATCTTTTTTTATGACATGAAAACACAATAATAAAGGTTTTGTTTAGGAACAAGAACAACTTGTTTTGTGTGGGAGAATGGAATTAAGTATTTAATTATTTTAATCATTCCTCCACAAATGTTTATTACACACATAGATCAGAAGATTGAGAGAAAAGCATAATGACAAGCTAGAGTCATTCAGTTGTAAACAGAAAACTGAGAGCAATCTCCGACAATAAATTGAGATGTTCAGTTCACCCATCCATCCGCTACAACCTCCTCCAGATGCAGAATTTGCTGTTCTTTAACATCATGAGACTTTAGCTTTTCTCCAGCCTTAACAACTTTAGCCACTAGATGTCACTTAATATATGTAATTTAAGGGCATTTGTTAAAGTGTGAGACAGCATTGTACCTCACTGGTGTCTCTTTTGAGTTTGCTGTCCTTACATGCACAAGAGCATTAGTGAGTTCCAACACTGATCATAAGTGAAAAGGTATGGCTAGTAATCACTGCTCCAATTCATCCCAGAGGTGCTGGGGGGACTTTAGGTCGGGGCTCTGTATAGGCTACAACAATGTTGGTTATTCACCTAATAATTTACATTTAATGTCAACCTTCACCATCAGTGCAGAAGATAGTGCCTCCAATATGTATGTAGTAAGGCCAAACGTAAAGGAATGATGGCTTCAACATGTAGCACTTCAACTGTCATGCACAGATATCGTGGCCTCAGCGCACATTGGGGCAATTTGCTGCTGAATGTGAAGCGGCTGAGCGAGAGTCAGCACCTCCAAGTCTGAGGCCATGGTTCTTTGCCAGAAACCAATGCATTGCTTCTCCTGGGTTTGGGGAGAGTTGCTGCCTCAAGCAAAAGAGTGAAAGCATCTAAGGGTCTCGTTCATGAGTGACAGGAAAAGGAAGCGTGAGATGAACATGTGGATTGGTGTGGTGGCAGCTGTAATGCAGGTGTTGTACTGAACCATCATGGTGAAGATTTACCTCAGCTAGAAGGCAAGGCTGCTGATTTACCAGTCAGTCTTTGTTCCAAATCTCATCTATGGTCATGAGCACTGGGTAGTGACTGAAAGAATGAGATTTCGGATACAAATAGCTAAAATGACTTTCCTCCATAGAATAGAACAAAATAGAATAATTCTTATTGATCCCCCATTGGGGGAAATTTACATGCCACAGCAGCATCCAAAAAATATGGAAAAGAAAGTACAAGGAAATAACAATAACTAAGCAATAAAACAAGTATGTACACAAAATAACAAAAAAAAATATATTGAATGAAAAAATACAATATTTACACTTTTTAAAAAAAAGACTGTGCTAACAATGAATTTTAAACAGGTGTTAATTTTGTCCATTTGGACACTTAACATCAGCCAGTGATGCCAATGTTGTGCTGTCATACAGCAGATGGTATGAATGTACCTGCAGTAGTGCTCCGTCTTGCAGGCTTGATGCCTTAGTCTGCTGCTGAAGGAGCTACTTAAAGCTCCCACAGTCTCATGCAGCGGGTGAGAGTGGTTGTCCATGATGAGAGCTTTGCTAACATAGATAAGATAGTATTACAAAAACAAAACATGGCCGACGAGTGAACGTTGGCGCAACTTGTTGCCACTGCTTGCTGCCACTGCTCGCCAGTAACGCTAGTAACTTTTAACTTTTGACAGTCCGGACTTGTTTTACAGTTTTATGACCTAATCAGACTGTGCAATTTGCCTTCATGTGGGAATACTACCAAGATCTACCAGCAATATCATCTGTGTGAGTTTTGACAGCTAGCTCACCTGTCCTCTCCCGGCTCGAGCCTCATCTGGCGTTGTCTGAGCTTCGATGCTGCCGGAGTCCTCGTCCACAATGTGGGCCAGTAGAACATACAATTTGCTTGTCTGTGCCTGGCTCTTTCTACTGCCTGTTCACCTGCCAGTGATGGGTTTGTTTCAATACTCGGCTACTGATCTGCTCCGACTGCACTGTCACCTGCCTGGACCTGCGCCAGAGACACTCCACCTTCATCTGGACATCATCTTCCAGCCCTGCCGGAGATACATCCACCAAGGGTTCCGCCGGAACTTCCACCATAACAGCTCATTGGCAAAAAAATCCATCTGGTCCGGCTCTCGACGCCCTCCACGCTAAACCAGCCGGGCAGTTGACCACAGCGTGTTAGCCCGCCTAGCCCGCTCGGCTTGCTCCACCACCAGCTGCGACACCACTTCACTCAACTTCGCTCTGCTCAACATCCGTTCACTGACAAGCAAGGGACATCTAATCCAAGACCTCATCACCAACCGTGAGCTTGACTGTCTTTGTTTAACTGAAACTTGGCAACAGCCCAACGACTTCTCCCAGCTGAACGAATCCACTCCTAGCAGGTTTGTTTACATCTGTCAACCCCGTGGCTCCGGTTGCGGAGGAAGTTCACCGGCGAGATTTTCCAATTCTCGCCGGTATCTGTACCTGTCTTCAGTTCTTGTGAATCCATTGTCTGCAAGCTGTCTGGTTCAACTCCAACCATCATTACCCCTTGGGTTTGTTTACATCTGTCAACCTCGTGGCTCCAGTTGCGGAGGAGGTGTCACGAAAATTCACCGCGAGAATTGGAAAATCTCGCCGGTATCTGTACCTGTCTTCAGTTCTTTTGAATCCATTGTCTGCAAACTGTCTGGTTCAACTCCAACCATCATTGCCACTGTCTACCCCCCCCCAAACTGAATAGGGACTTTTTAAATGACTTTGCTGTTTTTCTCACCCGTCGATCTTCTCTCTCATCAAACATAATACTGCTGGGTGATTTCAATATCCACATCAATCTGCCTCTCACTAAAGACTTCACAGTCTATCTAGAAAGGTTTGGAACTCAGCGACATACTACTATACCCACACGCACAAAAGGACACATTCTGGACCTTATCTGCTGCTCTGGTGTCACCCCTCTTGACCTTACATCAGATGAACTCCCCATAATGGACCACTTTCCCCTGTCATTTACAGTGAAACTCACTCTTTCCATCTCCAAAACACCACATCTCATTTCATTCCGAAATATAAACAACATTGACCCCGCCACTCTCACTTCAAGTATCCACTCCCTTTGCCTCCCTGACATCCACAACCTATCCACCCCTGATGATCTGGTTTCTCATTACAACAACGGTCTCCATAATATACTTAACTCCCTGGCTCCATTAAAAATGAAATCTGTTTCTGTCACCGTCTCCGCCCCTTGGATCACCCCCGAGCTTCGTCTCATGAACGCACAAGGTCGACAACTGGAACGTCTCTACAGAAAAACTGGTCTCACTATTCACAAAGAAATGTACAATAACCATATCCTACACTACAAGGACTCTATTGCCAGCACCAAATCCTACTACCACTCCATTATAATCACCGCTAATAAAGGAAACTCCAAGTCACTCTTCTCCATACTTAATGACATCACCCAACCCAAGGATTCTCTCCCTCCTCACCTGTACACAACCTCTTTCTGCAACTCCATCATGTTCTTTTTCACTGAAAAAATCAAAAACATCCACCACCATCTTGGATCAATCCCCCACCACTCATTCGACTTTCACCCATCCACACACTCATTCTCCTCCTTCCAGCTCCCCACTCTCTCAGATATCACTGAACTGATCCGAAAATCCAAGCCATCCACCTGTCAACTGGACCCCCTCCCCACACAATTTGTCAAAGCCTGTCTCCCGTCTCTGGTCCCCCTCATTTCTGCCATCATCCACTCGTCTCTCACCACTGGAACTGTCCTTACAGCTTTCAAAACTGCTGCCATTACCCCAATTTTGAAAAAACCTGGCGCTGACCCCTCCAACTTCAACAATTTTCGTCCTATCTCCAATTTACCCTTCATCTCCAAAATCCTTGAAAAAACAGTTGCCTCCCAACTCCACTCTCACTGAGTCCATGATGACCTGTATGAACAGTTCCAGTCTGGTTTATGTCCACTCCATAGCACTGAAACGGCACTCAACAAAATCACAAATGATCTCCTCATGGCAGCTGATTCTGGACTCCTCACCATCCTCATCCTGCTCGACCTGAGTGCGGCCTTTGATACCATCTGTCACTCCACCCTCCTCCACAGGCTATCTTCCATTGGCATAACTCACACTCCTTTAGACTGGTTCACTTCTTACCTCTCCAGCCGCACTCAGTTCATCCAACTGAAGTCCTCTAAATCCACCCCCTCCTCTGTCATTTCAGGTGTGCCCCAGGGCTCTGTCCTGGGGACCCTCCTCTTCATCATCTACCTTCTTCCCCTTGGCAATATCTTCTGTAAATGTAACATTCATTTCCACTATTATGCTGATGACACCCAGCTCTACCTCACCACTAAACCCTCGTCCACTCTTCCGCCCACCTCCACCACTGACTGCATCTCTGAAATAAAAACTTGGTTCACCCTAAATTTCCTTAAATTAAACAGTAGTAAAACTGAGGTTCTCCTCATTGGCAGCAAATCCACCTTATCCAAAACCGACAGCTTTTCTCTCTCGATTAACAATTCCACTGTCTCACCTATCCCCCAGGTTAAGAGTCTGGATGTCATCCTTGACAGTACACACATCAATAACATCACCAGGGGCCTCATGTACAAAGACTTGCGTGGATTTCATACTGAAACCTGGCGTACGCTTCAATCCTGAAAACTGCGTATGCACAAAAAAATCCAGATGAACGAAAGTGAGCGTACGCTGGAATCCAAGCACATTTCCTCTGTACATCTCACTCAGCGTGGAATTGACCGCACATGCTGGAGTACCAGACTCCTCCCTCTCCACGCCCTCAATTTAAATATGCAAATTATTATAAACAGGGCCGACAGGTGGGATTCCCCTCTCTGCAGGATCAGAAAACAGCAACAAGGATGAACTCACCCCGTTTGAGCAGAGTGTCGCCGCTATTGTGGGTGACGTTGCTGTCACAGGGGTGGTGGGAGCACACATAGGTCACTCAGATCACCCCAAGGTAAATATTTATTGTGTAACTCACAGATTTATTCACTACACGGGTCATATAATAATCTGCTCGCAGCCAAACAAGATACAGGTTCTTGCGTAGTCATGCCAGGATATCAAGAGGAAATCAAAACTGTCTCATGTCAGATTACTCAATTTATTATTTTCCAACAGACAATGAGGCAAGAGAAGACTGTAAGACGCAGTCCCAGCCTCGTATCACAGACCCGCGGGATTCCTCCAGCCTCCCCGGCGTCAGCCGATCCTCCGGTCTGCCACAACAGCCAGCTGCTGATGCCCATCCGGGGCGCATGTCGGGGGGATTAATATTAGGAGAATTAAATGACTTACTCACCAAGAAGCCACCACCGTGCCAGCTTGTAGCCTGTTCTCAACCATACTGTTGGTCAGAATGTGTTTTGATCAAGGCCACCTCGCAACAATGTTACTTAATTGTATTTGCGCATCACAGATGATGTGTACACTGATTTAATACAAAATGCCTCCTGTTTACATAAACACATGCATCTTGTGATGGTGCCTCTATAGCAATGTGTGTGCAGTCGACAGCTCCGATTACAGCAGGAAAACCGGCCGTCGCTACAAATTGCACGTTTATGTCGTCCTGTTCAACTGCAGTGTGGGAATTTGATATATCTGGCTGACATTCGGATGGTTCCAACCCACACGGCTGGCATGGCTCTGCTCAGTGTCGATTGACACAGTCCCGGTCGGTCGGCCAGCTCCCTCTGAAATGACCCTGTGGCCAGGAAGCCCAGTGTGGTCAGCACCTGTATGGGCACAGGTAGGACATGGCTCCTGGTCGTGTTGCGCTCCAATAACGGCCGCAGCTCCGCGCACAGTTCTAAGCAAATTGCCCTCGGGAACGTAAAGCGGCTGACGATCCAGTCGTCGTCCTGAGGTCTCTGGAAACCCGTTCTCTTGGCACTGCTCCATTGGCAATATCCTCCAACAGATCCAAAGCTGCCATTGTTGTTAACGGTATCTTCTGCACCATTTTACGTAAACTTTTATATCCGCTCATCTGATTGCAAACACCTGGGTGTGTTAAGTGTTCATCTTAGTGTCTCTGATGTTCATATCACTTTGAGAAATTACCTTTTTTTACATTGTTTTTTACATTTTTATATTCCCAGCATCACCTCTAAGTGTCGCCAACGGCTCAAAAGCAATAGAAACATCCAGAAGTTGGCGTGGAGGACCACACATTTCCACGTTCATTTCACTCTTGATACATCTGAACGTGAGCGTGGATAAGTGTGTACGCCAAGTTTTTGTGCGTACGCACGCTTTGTACATGAGGCCCCAGGTCTGCCTACTTCCACCTACGTAACATCAATCGCCTCTGTCCCTCCCTTTCCCCCCACACTGCTGCCATCCTTGTCCACAGTCTCGTCACTTCCTGTTTGGACTACTGTAATTCTCTCCTCTTTGGTCTCCCTCACAAATCCTTCCATAAACTTCAACTGGTCCAGCATTCAGCTGCCCGCATCATAACCCAAACCCCCTCGATCCACCACATCACTCCTGTCCTCCAACAGCTCCACTGGCTTCCGGTTCAGTTCCGCATCCAATTCAAAATCCTCCTGTTAACATTTAAGGCCATTCACAACCTCGCCGCCCCCCATACCTCTCTGACCTCCTTCAAGTTCACACTCCCTCCCTCCGCTCCCTCAGATCCTCCTCCTCCATACACCTGTATGGGCATACAGCTGCTCTGCTCCCCGTCTCTGGAATTCACTACCATCCCAACTCAGAAATATCGATTCACTCCCCCAATTCAAATCACAACTCAAAACTCATCTGTTTAAGTCTGCCTACTCCACCTGAATGCATGTTGTTCTGTTTGCTAATTTAGTGATTTTAATTATTTTAACGTTGTTTCTTTTATTTTGATTTGTCTGATGTATGTATGGTGTCCTTGAGTGCCAAGAAAGGTGCCTCTAAATAAATAAATAAATGTAAATGTATTAACATCCTCCTCTCACCCACCTCCTTTATGGTGTCCAGGACAGAACCGGCCCTCCTGACCAGTCTGTTCAGTCTATTTCTGTTCCTCTCTGTGCTCCCTCCTCTTCAGCAGACCACTGTATGGAAAAGAGCAGACACCACCACAGTGTCGTAAAATGTTCTGAGCAGAGTCCTGCACACTCCAAAGGACCTCAGTCTCCTTAGCAGGTGGAGACAACTTTGGCCCTTCTTGTACAGGACATCTGTGTTGTTGGACCAGTTCAGTTTATTGTTGAGGTGAACACCCAGGTGTCTATAGGTCTCCACCATTTCGATGTCCAGACCCTGGATGTTCACTTGTGCAGTCTGGGGTGTCTTCCTGATATGGAAGTCAATGACCATCTCCATCATCTTACTGGCGTTAAGCTGGAGATGGTTCTGCTCACACCAGTTGACAAAGTCAGCGATGACGGACCTGTACTCCCGATTGCCCCCCTCAGATACACGCCCGACAATGGCTGTGTCATTGGAGAACTTCTGGAGGTGACAGCTCCCAGAGTTGTAATTGTAGTCCAAAGTGTACAGGGTGAAGAAAAAGGGGGAGAGCACTGTCCTTTGTATTAGGTCCCTGTGCTGCAGACTAACACATCTGACACACAGTCCTGAAGGGTGCCAGGACTTAGCCTTGGAGATAAGGTGAGGAGCTTGGACATCTAGAGAAAGCTTGCAATAGAGCTGCTAGTTCATCTGGCCTGGGAACACTTTGAATACAGTCTGTCATTGGACCCAAGAAGCGCAGGTCAAACCAGCAAACTAAATCCAAACCAAAAGCACACCAAAGTATATGATCATGAGAGTCTGGATGTCCCACCTTAGTAAAAGGTACAATTTCCCCCCAGTTTTGTTTTAAGGTCAGTTGAGGGGCAAAAGAAAGTTACAAAAATAAAATAAAAACACAGCCATGTGCAGACATTTTGCAACGAGCCACTGCGACCTGAATCCCCACTGCATCAGAATTTCACTCTCCATCTGGATCCTCCCCGCAGCTCCTTCTCCTGCCACTGGTCGCCAACCTGTTTCCAGTCTGCATTCACCAAGCCAGCCTTCCCCTTTAGTTTGGTTCCCTGCCCCGTGAGTATCCCTGTTTTGTTGGTCTAGCTTTAGTTTATTCATATTACTTTCCTGAGGTTTCCCCCTTGGTGTTAATTTAGAGTTTTTCTTAGGTTTTTGTAGTTTTGCCCCCTTTGTGAATAAAGTCTAGTCTATTATGTTCTGTTTTCCTCCCCTCAGTGTAGTTTCCACACTTCCACTATTGGTTCCAGTTTTATTCTATAATTCAATAAATTACTTTGAACACCTCACCTGCCTGTTTACCTGCATCTGTGTCTGCACATGGGTTCCTAGACCTACCGTGACAGTATGGTCTGGCCATACATGAACCCAGCAGACACAGAGTCCGGCTCTGACTCAAGGCCTACAACCCCGCAAATCCCTCAGGCTATAGCCAGCCAGGGGGGGCTGCTCAACCACAATCCTGCCCAGGTTACTGTTCTCCCTCCAGGGCCACCTGACCCAGGACATGTTTCCCCCACAGAACCCTTTGAGGATGAGGAATCATATCAGTGTTTGGATTACCTCATTCACCTTTACAGAATGTAGAAAGGGAGACTCATCCCTTAGGCAGACTCACTTGTTGTTGGTGCGCAGTAAAGCTGCCCAAAAGCCCTGGCTCCAGGTAACATTAACGGAGTTCTTTGTGGATTTCATTAACACCCCTGTCTCCCATCCTGTCAACTCTCTTCCTCCTCCTGAGACAGCTAGCTTTCAGCCTGCAAGTCCTGAGTCCATCCAACATCAGGCTGAAGTGGGTGTGGTGAGGCTGTTGCCAATTGGCTACCAAGGACCTTCAGCCCCTGTGTCTGTTAACCTTCAGGCTAACAGCCAGTTCACACCACCATCCACGAACCCCTGAAATCCTGCCTCCCCAGATACCATCCCATCAGATGCCTGGGAGTCTCCCTTCTGGGGAACCCACCTAATTGACACCTGGTGGATGGCGAGGTTCTCAACATAGAGGAGGCTCCCAGTCAACCCCATCTCAATCTGTCATCAGTGATTGAGATAGTGATCTCAATCACTGATGAGATCTGTCATCGTTTTTGCTTGATAGAGCCCTTGGACTAGATATCTACCATAACCCAACCAGTTTCCCACCTGAACCTGCTCCCTGGGACTCCAAGGAGTCACTTCCTGGAAGACCTTCCAGGAAAAAGTACAGCTCCTGGCAATGCCAGACCTCGTCGCTCCCCAGTACCCAGACCTCACCGCTCCCTCAGTGCCCAGACCTCGCTGCCGCCAAGCGTGGCAGAGGTTCCGCTGCTGAGCATCACGGAGGTCCCGCCACACCAGTCCTGCATCCTGGCCATCTCTATGTGGCCTCCTGAGCGTGTCAACACTGCCTCTGCTGACGCACTTGGGTTCCCAGACCCACCATGACATCCTGAATTCATTCTGCAAGATCACAATGAGTCAAAACATGAGGGCCATGGACTGCTCTGCAATGGTACTCCCCTGTAACTCAAAGCAGATACACCCTTAATTGTGTATTAATAATTCAAGACTAAATACAATTAAAATGGGTGAGTTATTTCGAAATTCACACACATACAGCTGTCATGAACAAGGAAAGCTATAGAGACAAAAATGGCTTTTGAAATGGGAGGACATGAAGATTAACTCACCTCTGGAGACAACCTCTAGTGGCCATTCAAGGACCTGCAATTTTTTTGGCATTTCCCTCTTCTTTGGTTGAAACATATTTCAAATCGAATTTGGGATGCAGATAGGTTGATGAGACAAAGGAATGAATGGACACACTAATTACTAAGATGATTTTCTTTTCTTTTGTATTTACTGCACTTTCTATCAAGTGAAGTGATACAACAACTATTCATATCACTATTTTCAAAATGATTCACCCTTTACTAATACACAGCTATAATACATTTGGAAAACAGACAAAAAAAATGCACACACACTACTCATACACAGTAACACACACACACA